TACCCTAGTGACCTAACACTGCAATCCAATTCCCTGTGGACTGTGGACAGACACAGCGTGCGCGGGCGAGCAGACGAGGAGGAGCCTGTCTCTTCCTGGGTCTCCTGTGTCTGCAGAAGGAGGTGATGGTCTCAGGCTGCTGTCAACACATGCTCACTCATGTCTGCAGTGCCCAGCAACTGTTATCTACCACACAACTCATGCCCTGCACAGGTACCAAGGGGGGAGCCCCTACTGGGGATGCAGAGGAGCAGTAGGCTGGACCCGTGTGAATGTAACCCACAAATGACCTTAATGAAGCCCTTCCTTGCTAATTAGCAGGTCCACATGACAAGACCGGCAAAGGCCAGTTTGTCCCAGCAAGCCCAAGCAGGCCTGACCCAAGAGCAGAGAGAGGCCTTTGTCTAAGGGCAGAGGGGACATTAAGGGTTGGGCTGGGTGCGGGGGACGCAGCACACAGGTCCCTGCTTCCTAGCTAGGCTGACTGCTCAATGTCCAGTGCAGCGGGACAACTGCCTCAAGCCCAATCTGCCAGTCTGATCTTCCCAGGAAAGCCAGGCCTCGTAGCGCTGGCCTGTGAGCCCAGCACTTGGGAGGCTGAGGCAGGATAGTCGCTGTGAGTTTGAGGCCAGCCTGGATTAGTTAGCAAGATCCTGTCTCAGGGGAAAAAAAAACAAAACCCTTGGGAGACAAATAAATGTTGAGCTGCCATTGGCTGAGCCGATGGTGAGCTACTTCATGGTTCTGTGCATTCCGAGCCTTCTGTGTCTATTTCTTCAATGATAACAAACAGCCCACAGTCGCAGCACACGCGCGCCATCGGTGGTCTTTAGTACAGGCCGTTGGTCAGGAAATGGTAACCAATAATAACGATCCTATTGTTGTTGTTATTTTACTGTCAGAGAGAGAAAGGGCAGCCCGAGCTGGTCTGCAGGGGGAAGGTGACCACAGCGAGTGACGCTTATGTAACGGGCCGTGCAAGGGCGTGTGCGCATGCGCCTGCCACAGTGGTCCACGGCACGCCCCCAGTGGCTCGGAGTAAACGCGAGTCTGCATCCCACCCCTGCAAAGCATAAACCTACTTCTTGCAAGCCAGAAATGGGTGCAACCTGGAATCTGGGGCTGGGGACAGGGACACCAGAACCAGAAGCAGCCTTCTGAGAGAAGCAGGTTTTCCTGATAAGAAGCTGCCACGTTGCCCACACTCTTATTTGCAATCTATTCCCATTGTCCTTTCCAGGGTGAGTGTTCTCAGCTTCCCAGCTTGCCAGCGCCACAGGAGGAAGGAAAATGAGGACTCTCCAACCTGGCTTCACACTCAACACACACACACACACACACACACACACACACACACACAGTGGGGTAGACACCTGGGGCCTAAGGAAGGGCCATGGAATTTGCATTTAAAGAAGTGTCCTAATGGGTTGGTGGTGCAGGCCTGGATCCCAGCACGCAGGAGGCTGCGGCAGGATTGCCACAAATTCAAGGCCAGCCTGTGCCACATAGTGAACTGCACAGGAAAATCCTGTCACAAGACAAAAGAATTGTCTTGAACCAGGCCTGATGTCCTATGCCTGTAATCCCAGTACTTGAGAGGCTGAAGCGGGGGATCACAAATTCAAGGCCAGCTTGGCTGCTACATAGACCCTATTTTAAAAACTAAACAAAAAACCCTAAGTGGTTGTGACGAAATCATTCAGATACGTGGGGAGGAACAGGGCGGCAGGCAGAATCCCCCACCTAGCTGAGCCCAGCCCCTTATCAGGGATTCACAAAGATCCACATCTCGGCTTTCTCAGGCATTTGAGGCACAATTATGCGGCCTTTAAAGAGCCTTGTTTAGATTGTGGGAGGGAAGACAACTTAGGGTAGCCCGCCAGCGCATTCAGTGAGGCCTTCTCTTTACTTCAGTGCATGCACGCAGTGGAAAGGCTCCATTTTTTCTGAGACAAAGTCTCCCTCATTCAGGCTGGCCTGGAACCCGTGGCAATCCTCCTGCCCCAGCCTCTCAAGGACCAAGATTATAGGTTGGCCAGGCCTGGCTTGGAAATTCTTTAAAGAAAGCTCAGCCCAGGATCACCTTTGCATCTTACCTGCTGCTCAAGGCCCTCGCTAGGCAGGCAGACCGTTCCAGGGCTGCCACACAGGGCTCCCTCACCGTAATCCCACTCACACCTGTCTGACTCCACCCCATCCATAGCCTGTTTTCCAAGACCCAATGGCGTCTCATCCCACAAAGTCACAGAATCCAGGCCCCTGGGAGCCCTGACTCCCACCCTCTGAATCTGCAGAGCCCCTCACGTACAACCACAGAAGAAAAGCAGCAGAGGCTTAATGGGGGTCTGATGGAACCAAGGGGGCTACCCACTCTCCCTGAGGGCCAGGCAGGATTGAGTGTAGGGCCGACGATGCAGGAGCCAGGCTCTCCAGGCGGCCCCCTGGGGCCAGGGGAGTGGCTTTACTTCCCAGCTTCAGGCAGTCCAGAGCCATTCCCAGGGAACCAAACAGCTGGGCCTGCCCAGTGAATGCTACAGACGGGACCCTCAGGCCTGGGCCTCTCTATCCCTTCCCATCCCAAAGTCCCAGGGAGGTGGCCTTTCCCGGCAGGTCAGGGTGCCCACACCTCCATCCATGTGCAGGCCCAGTGGCTGAGTCAGCTGAAGCCCAGCCTTGCCCGGGGGCTGGGGGAGCTGTGCCTGGGTTCCAGCCTGCCTAGTTGGTGACAAATCGCGACAGATCGCCAAGTCCCTCTTCTCTCACTGCAGGCACTGAATCTGGTGGCAAAACAGAAAGTATCCTGGGCAGATCGGGACACCCACTATTCACCCTTCTGTCCCTGCCCCTCATATGGAACAGCTAAGAGCTGCGTCCCTCAAAAGGGCCTCTGGGGTCACCACCTGTCCTGTGGTTTCCTCACAGCGATGACCAAACAGCAGCATAAGTCTACTAAAATCACCAATTGTACTGGGGTGATGGAAGCACATGGTAAATGTTTACATTTTAAAATTTTTAAATTCCTGGCTTCAAACACACTTATCCCAGTTCTTGCTACCTTCTACAGCTACTTCTCTGGACATCCTCTTTCATGAGGGTCTGGTTACACTGTTGTGGCCGCTCTGATGTCCTCATTGATCTCTCTTTCATGGTCATTTTGATTTTGGGGAAGAGCCAGAAGTCACTCGGCTAGAGCCAGCAAACAAGGTGAGCGAGGGCACAGTGTCCTGTGTTTACAAACCTCCCTTTCTGTGGATAGCACTGGGCAACAACACTCACTGTATTTTTGACCACATTTCTAAAGAGACACAGGAAAGAGCACTTCCAAACCTGCTTCAAAAAGTGGCAAGAAGCCAGGCATGGTGGGGCATACCTGCCAGTACTCTTAAGGCTGAGGCAGGAGGATTGGTGCAAGTTCGAGGCCAGCTTGGACTACAAAGTGAATTGAAGGCCAGCCTGAACTGCATAGCAAGACCCCGTCTCAAAACAACAACAAAAAGTGGCAAGAATGATGAGGATAGCCAGGTCTGGTGGCAAATGCCTATAATCCCAAAACTCAGGAGGCTGAGTCAGGAGGATCCCTGGCTCAAGGCCTGCCTGTGCTACATAGTAAGAGCTCATTGCACAAAAATAAACAAAAACAACAAATGAATGATAAAGTGTATTCAACTCAAGGGGTAGTATTTGGGGCGGGGTGGCAATGTCTTTTACCCTAGTAAATTATTGTAAGCATAAGTATGCACCGTGCTAGCCGAGGATATGGCTCAGTGGCAGAAGCACCTGCCTGGCAAGCACAAGGTCCTGAGTTTGGTCCACAGTGCTGCCAAAAAAAGAAAAAAAAAAAAAAATCACTCTGAATAAGTACGCACCACGCTGAACACACCTGGGAAGGCCCTGGCTCGGTCATTTAAGTCCTGGGGCATGGAGCTATCCCCTCACCCCCAGCCTGGTTCTCCTCCTTCCAACAGAAATTAACAATCGCGCCACACTCTAGATAAAGATTCCTGAATCAACAACACAAAGATTTGAGAGTGGGACCTTGCACCCAGGAGTAGTCCGTGGGTGTTTGCTGTGTGACGTTTTCTTTCTGCCCGGGGAGGTGACCTGGCCTTGCTACTCGGCGCCACAGGTTCCCGGCCCGCCGGTGCTGCCCCCACCCTTCCTGCCTCGGCTGTCCGCCTAGCCTGGGTAGCCTTGCCCAGTTCCAGCCTTGCGCTCCAAGAGCCTGTCACACCCCGGCTGAGAAGGTGGGAGCTCACACATGTCCCTGCTGGTGGGAGAGGGCTCCCTGTTTCCTCCCCTCCCGGCCACGCGCCTGTACTTGGCTGTGTGACCGGGGTGCGAGCCTGAGTCATGGCAGGGGCTGAGGCTGGGGCATCCCAAGCCAAGGCTTGTGTGATGGCTGTCCTGTCCCACCACTGCATCCCCAGAACCACGGGCCACACACAGGGTGAATTCCTGTCCTCCTGTCCCCACGCCCTGTGGAGGACGACAGCAGAAATATGCAGGGACCTGGTGACCCCAGCCAGACCCAGGCCAGACTGAGTATTCCCAGACGCCTGCTGGGACACTCCCTGGTTTGGGGCCTGCAGCCGCTGGGGGTCACAGAGGGGGCACCTCCGCAATCATCCAACCATCCCATCTGCAGTCGCTCAGGTGAGCCCACAAAGCAGCTGGCCAGGGCAGGGACCCCAGTGCGTGAGTGGGTGTGCAGCAGGCTGGGAACCCTTCCGCAGCGGCTCCTAGTGACTTTGCCCAGGCTTGGCCAGTACAGAGCCAAAGGTGTGGGTTCCGGGCAGCATTCCTAGTCTTTGACCTGGGATCCGGGGCCTTAGACCTGGGACACAGCTCGCACTCACTGGGCACTCTGGGATGGCAGGGCTGGGGGCTCAGCGATGTCAAGGACAGCGACCATCACACCTCGGGGAGGCCCAAGGCGCGGGCCAGGGCTGGGGGCTGCAGCGCCCGGCCGGCCTCTCCCCGCCCTCCCCGCTGCCGCTCACCGAAGCCCCGGGTCCCCTCGTCCGGGGCCTCCTGGGTGAAGATCCAGGGCGGATTGGTGGCATAGAGAGACGTGGAGGTGGGGCTCGAGTGCTTCTTCCCGAAGAGCTTGCTGAGGGTGCCCTGCACCGCCGGGCTCTTCTTCATGCTGCCGCTGGGCGCCAGGTCCTCGCTCTACCCGGCCATGTCCTGTCGAGCTCCTGCCCGCCTGGCCGGCCGCGCTCCCGGGAAATGCGAGCCACCTGGCCAGGTAAGAGGTGGCGCCTGCCCCGCCCCGCCCCCCGCCCGACTCCCCGGGCCGCATTCCTTCCAGCCTCTTCCACAACAGGCCTTTGTGGCACCGGGCCGGGGACCTCGCCCAGCCCTGGCCCTGCCCCGGGGGAGGCCGCCCCTCCCCCAGGCTCCCCTCTGCCCGCCTCCTACCCTTGGGCCAGGCCAGGCCGAGGACTCCCCTCCCGCAGGCGGGTCAAGAACAGGTTGGTTTGAGCACTTGGGGAACCATCTGCGTGTCCAGCACCCGGGACAGGCCCGGCCAAAGCCCGCACGGTGAAGCTGGGAAGTGCGGGGCAGGAGGCTTCCAGGAGGCAAGGACTGGGTGTGGTGGCGGAGGCCCGCAATCCCAGTACCCGGCCCGCAATCCCAGCACTCAGGAAGGGTGAGGCAGAAGATCACAAATTCCAGCCCAGCCTGGGCAACTTAGCGATTTAGCAAGAACCAGTCTCAAAATAAAAAAAAAAAAAAAATAAAGGTAGGGGCCGGGGAGATGGCTCAGTAGGATAAGGACTGCCCTGGCAAGCTCAAAGGCCAGAGTTCAATCCCTGGTTCCGAAATAAATAAATAAATAAATAAATAATAAAGGTGGATGTGGTGGCGCATGCCTGGGATCCTAGTACTCAGAAGGCTGAGTCAAGAGCATTGCTGCGAGTTTGAGGCCAGCCGGAAGGACACTGTGAGTGCCAGACGGCCAGCCAGAACTACAGAAGACCCTCCTGTAAATATAGCAAGGGTTGGGGATGGAGTTTAGTGTGAAGGCGCCGGGTTCACCGTGAAGTACAAAAAAAAAAAAAAAAAAAAAAAAACCCCAAAGGAAATCCCCCAAAAAAAAAAAAAAAAAAAAAAAAAAAAAAAAGCCACAAGGAAATGCCCATAAGAAAAAAAAAAAGAAAAGAAAGCGGGAAACAGCAATAAAATACCAAGCTGCTGACGAAGGCAGACTCTCCTGAGAGACCTGGAGAGAATGCAGCATGACTAATTCTTGCATCTTGCGGACATCAAAAGTCAGACAAGGAGCCAGGCATGATGGTGCGTGGCTGTGATTCCAGGACCCAGGAGGCTGAGGCAGGAGGATTGCCTTGAGTACTAGGCCAACATGGGCTACACAATGAGTTTGTGGCTAGCCTGAACCTGTCTTGAAAAAAAGAAAGAAAACACAAACAAACAAGAAAACAGATTGGGAAAGCCCAAGTCCAGCTCCAGGAAGACAAACTTAAGTCCTCTACAGGGCCATGGTGGCCAAGTAAGGTCCTGGAGTTGTGGGAGGCTGAAGCAGGAGGATTTAAACTCTCAGCCCAGCCAAGATAACTTAGTGAGGTAGCAAGGCCTTGTCTGGACAAAAAAAAAAAAAGTTGGATTGAGAATGTGAGGGTCTTCAATTCCATCCCCAGTGTAGGGTGGGATGGGGGTCTAAAAGCAAATACTGGGTAATATTCAGTCTGTATTTTTTTAAAATTTTATTTATGTGTGTGTGTGTGTGTGTGTGTGTGTGTGTGTGGCCAGCTCAGCCCACCAGGGAGCGGGGCTGGCTGGCATGTGGTGCTGGGGATTGAACCGCGGTCCCTGTGCTTTGCTGAGCTTGTTCTAAGTAGGTGCTTTAGACCACTGAGCCATCTCTCCAGCCCTGTTGTTGAGTTTGAGACCAGCCTGGGCTACAAAGTGAGCACAAGGCCAACCTGACCTGCGCAGTGAGACCCTGCCTCAAAAAGATAAATAAATACGGGGGCCTGGCCTTAGCTCAGTTGTTTAAGTGGCTGCTTCCACAAAGCTGTCAGCCTCAGGTTGCTGTAGTTCAATCCCCACAACACACCAGCCAAACCACCCAGTAGGGCATTTAGAGAAAAAAAAAAAAAAAAAAAAAAAGATAAATAAATAGACAAATAAATACATAAAAATGAAAAATAAAAGCTTCGGACCTGCGATGTGGCTCAGTGGTATAAACACCTGCTTGGCAAGCACAAGGTCCCAATTTCGATCCCCAGGACCCACAAAAAAAGTCAAACACACAAAAAAACTTCCTATTATTATCTGAAATGTCATTTGAGTTGTTTTCCCTCTTCCACAGTCCAGTCAAGCTTGTCTTCTGTCACCTTCTTTTTATTTTTTATTTCAATTTTCTCCTGGCACTTTCATCTTTCAGTTTAATGATGCTTTTGTTTCTGCCAAATTCCTTCCTAGCCCCAGCTTCCAGGGCCAAGGGATGGGACCACAGGGATGGGGTTCGTTTTCTAGGTCCTAGTGGAACGGACTGAAGGGCAGATGGAAGGTGGCATTGGAAAGAATACCTGGGCTCCCCAGCTGTCTTGGTCAGCACCAGCACTGAGCAGTTCTGCCTCCTCCCCCCAACACATCCCGGAGCAATGTTCTAGGAGCCTTGCTGTGAGCTGTCTGCCAGCCGTACTGTACCTGCAGGGTACACCTCCCCCCCCCCGTCAGCCATTAGCCTTATTTTTCTGTGCAGAGCATGTTGGGATCTCATCAGGAAATCAAAGTCATAGAGATGGGGTAGCGGGCTGCAGGTGACTAAACTCACCAACACCCTCAGGAAGTGGGGGTGGGGGGTTGGCCTGGAGGACAGATAGGAGGAGTCTGGGAAGACCCTAAGAGGAGGAAGATGGAGGTGGCCCATGAAGAATGACAAGGATGGACAGAAAGGTGAGGAGGAGTCATGCAGGGCATGCACATGAGTCTGCCCATCTTCCCTCTCTATGTCACAGGTTCTCCCTTGTCCCCCCCAGAGGACACAGGGAACGCAGATGCCCTGTGACACTGTGGGCACCGTCCACTGTGTTCTGGGTGCTTGCTGCTCTTCGGGGGGCATCAGAGGCCCTGTCAGTCACACACAGCCCCTCCAGTGTGGCCAGCTACTAGAGACCCTCAGTGCCTGGCTCTGCGGGCCTTTGAGGAGGGCAGTCCTTGAGGCCCTGTCGCCACAGTCTGTCTGAAAGACAAGTCGGGGACATCCACAGGGGCTTGAGATGGTCGCCACAACTTGGGGACCCAGCACAGCCAGGTAGGACAGGGCATGGAGGCTAAGAGCACCAGCTGGAAAAGTCAGAGACAGCTAAATGTCCCCCAGGGGTGGCGGGGACACAAATGATGGGCTGCGCTCATGCTGTGAGCTCACTGAGCAGGAACACAGCAGCCGTCTGTCCAGCTGCCTTCCAGATGAACCAATACGCAGGGACTCAAGCTGCATGGTAGCACCAGAGTCCTGGGCAAGTGCCCACAAACATGGGCTTACATGTTTGTTTTGGCACAAAGAAGCTTCGAAAAGATTCATCAAAAGATTAATGAGGGGCTGGAGAGATGGCTCAGTGGTCTAAAGCACCTACTTGAAACAAGCTTGGCAAAGCACAGGGACCGCGGTTCGATCCCCAGCACCACATGCCAGCCCGCCCCGCCCCCTGGTGGGCTGAGCTGGCCACACACACACACAATAAATAAATGTAATAAATAAAAATAAATAAATATTTAAAAAAAAAGATTAATGAAAGTGGTCTCTGGAGGAGTGGGGAAGAAATGGAGAAAGAGGGGAATTTACATGACGCTTTTTTTTATGGTGCTTGGGGACGGAACCCAGGGCCTTTTGCACTAATGACTGAACCACACCCTCCCTTTTAAATTTGGACACAGCATCTCCCTCAGTCCCTAAATCACTATTTGAATTTGGGATCCTCCTACCTCAGCCCCCTAGGGTGCTAGGATTACACGTATGTGCTACCGCATTCTTAAACTTTCAAATAATGTAAATGCATTTCTTTTTGTTGTTGTTGTTGCTAAAAAATACAAAATAGTGATAGGAAAAAGATAGCGTTAGAAACAATACAAAATTTCAGAGCCAGCAAGATAGCTCAGTGGACTAAACACCTGCTTAGGCAAGCACAGAGACCAGGGTTCAATCCCCAGCACCACATACATGGCTTGCCAGCCTCATCCCCAGGGGAGCTGAGCCGGCCACCGAGCCTGGGTGTAGTGACACACGCCTGTAATCCCAGTGCTGTGGAGGCTGAAAACAGGAGGGTCACTTTGAGTCCAAGCTGTGTAGTGAGACCCTGTACAAATACATAAATAAAAAAAGAAACAATACAAAATTTCACTAAACCAAGTAATGGGAATTCAACCATGTTTGTTGTATTGCCTGATGCTATTTTCAAATTAGTTGTTCAGGGGGCCGGAGAATGGCTCAGTAGAATAAGCACTTGCCTGGCAAGCACAAGGGCCTGAGTTCAATCCCCGGTTCC